TCACTGTTTCCATTGTTTCCCCATCTATTTGCCATGAAGTGATGGGACCAGATGCCATGATCTTAGTTTTCTGAATGTTGAGTTTTAAGCCAACTTTTTCACTCTCCTCTTTCGCTTTCAAAAACAGACTCTAAATTTAGTACCTTTCACTTTCTGTCATAAGGGTGGTGTCATCCGTGTATCTGAGGTTATTGATATTTCTCCTGGCAGTCTTGATTTCCAGCTTGTGCTTCATCCAGCCCAGCATTTCCTCATCTCTAGTTCTTCATAGAAGGACAGAGTTTTAACAGTAATACAGATACCTTTAGATGTATAGTTTTTTAAATAAAAAATACTGTGAAATATACTATGCATATGATATATTTTTCTGCAGTTTTCTTTTTTTACTTAAAAATAAAATGTGACGATTGCTAGGGGAAAAATTAAAGATAAAATCTCCTGCCAGCCCAGAAATTCCTCTCCACAGATGTAGGAAAGAAACTTTTATTACTGAGTAAGCGTTAAACCAGATGGTAATGCACATTTCAGCAGTCCACTAATGAGATACAACAGAGAGAAATCCCACCCTTTTAAATAGCCCAGCGTATACAGTCCATTCTATACTTGTCCTCAAAATGAAGGTAACTAACTTGTCTTTGTGTGAGAGAATTTGACACCACTGTCTGCTCTACATTCTTTCATAGTTTATTGTGAATTTACCTGGTAATTGGTGTGGCCACCTATGTAAGTTAATTGCCTTTACCCAGAGGAAAAAACAAAAAGGAAAACAAACTTGTATCTTTAATGTAAGCTGATGGTTATAGTTTGGATCCATTCCCACAGAGAGAAGGTAGGGTGGCTGGCTCACTTGATGTTTACATTTCAAAGAGATGGCTCTTAATCTTTAACAAAAACCATGTCTGCTTTGTAATGCTGATTTATGGCTTATTTAGGTTTTAAAGAGATTTACATATGTTTCAAAGGAATCAGAGGTTTTTTAAATGCAAATTTTCTTACTAAAATGCTCTAAGAATAGGGAGAAGGAAAACCTGTTTCTTTTGACTAGAAGAAAAAAGGAAAAATTGAGCCTGCCTATCTATCTCCCTCTCTTCTTCATTCCCTCCTTTCCCCCTTCTCTCCCCTCTCCCCACTCCTTCCCTCTCTTCCCTTCTCCCAATCCTTCCTCCTTTCTATCACTCCCAGTGGTTGATGTAAGAAGGAATCAACCTTGAGTTGATCTAAAACTTGAGGCTTGATCTGCTGGGGTAGCTGCCCTGAGAAACCAACTCAGAGAAAGTGGCCTTTGATTCAAACTTCCAGTAAATGCACAAAATTACTGATGGGCTGCCAGAACAATTGGGAGAAGCTAGACAGGTGCAAAGACTCCCAAGAGATTAGTGGATAAGAATTTCTCTGAAATCCTGCCAGACAGTGCCCCTGACTACTGGACTGTTTGTGAAGATTTCTATAAGGAAAGTTACTTAGTGAAAGTGTTAGTCGCTCAATCATGTCCACTTCTTTGGGACCCTGTGGACTGTAGCCCACCAGGCTCCTCTGTCCATGGATTTTCCAGGCAAGAATACTGGAGTGGGTTGCAATTTCCTCCTCTGGGGGAATCTTCCTGACCCAAGAATTGAACCTGAGTCTTTTGCACTTCCTGCATTGCAAGCAGATTCTTTTACCATCTGAACCACCAGGGAAGCCCATATCTCTTATATGGAATGTCCAAAAAAGGGCAAATTTTTAGAGACAATAAATAGATTAGTGATTGCCTAGGACCAGGGACAAAGGGGAATGATGGGTTTAAAGTTTTCCAAAGTAGCTGTACCATTTTTCATTCTCACTAGCAATGTTAGAAAGGTTCAGATGTCCCTACATCCTCATCACATTTGTTTGATTGTAGCTGTTCTAGTGTATGAGAATATGAGAAATGGCATGTCACAGTGTTTTTTTGTGTGTTTTGTTTTAGCTGTATTAGATCTTTGTTGCTGCACATGGGCTTCTAGTTGTGAGCAGGGGCTACTCTTCTTTGGGGTGCACGAGCTTCTCGTTGTGGGGGCTTCACTTGCTGCAGAGCACAGGCTCTAGGCATGCGGGCTTCAGTAGCCATGCATAGTCTTAGTCGCCCTGCTGCATGTAGGGTCTTCCCACACCAGGGGTTGAACCAGTGTCCACTGCATTGGCAGGGGGATTCTTAACCACTGGGCCACTTGGCAAGCACTGTCATTTTGATTTGCATTTCCCTAATGACTAATGATTTCCTGATGGCTCAGATGGTAAAGCGTCTGCCTGCAGTACGGGAGACCTGGGTTCAATCCCTGGCCCGGAAAATTCCCTGGAGAAGGATATGGCAACCCATTCCACTACTCTGGCCTGGAAAATCCCATGGACGGAGGAGCCTGGTAGTCTACAGTCCATGGGGTCGCAAAGAGTCAGACACGACTGAGCGAGTTCTCTTTCTCTTTAATGACTAATGAAGTTGAGCATCCTGTTGGCCATTTGTATGTCTTCTTTGGAGAACTATTCAAATTCTTTGCCAAGTTTTAAAAATTGCGTTATCATTTTACTGTTGACCTACAGGAGTTCTTTGTGAATCAAGATACAAACCTCTTATTGGATATACAGTTTGCAGATATTTTCTCCCATTCCATGGGGTTTCTTTTTATTTTCTTGATGATATCTTTTGAAATACAAAAGTATTCTTTTACCCTATGTGCTTTTGGTATTGTATAAAAGAAAAATCAGTGCCTAACTAACCCCAAATCACAAAGGTTTACTCCTCTGTTTTCTTTTTAAAGTTACATAGATTTATCTCTATGTATTTAGTTCCATAATTCACTTTGAGTTAATTTTTGTATCTGATGTGAAGTTGGCATCCAAACTTTTTTTTTTTCCAAACTTATATTTTTGCATGTGGTTAGCTAGTTGTTCCTGCAACATTTGCTGAAAAGGCTATTTTTTACTATTGAATTTTGGGAGTACATTTGTGTACTATTGAATTTTGGGAGCACATTTGTTGAAAATCAGTTGAATGTAGGAAATTATTTCTGAACTCTCACTTCTGTTCCATTGACCATATGTCTGTCCTTATGCTAGTATCACACTCTTGATTTCTATAGCTTTGTAGTAAGTGTAGTAAGTTTTGAATTTGGGAAGCCTAAGTCCTCCAACTTTGTTCTTATTTTTGTAAGTGGTCATGGCTGTTCTGGGTTCCTTGAATTTCCATATGAATTTTAGGATGAATTTGTCAGTTTCAGTAACGTCAACAAAAAGCCAGCTGATATTTCATAAGAGATTGCTTTGAATCTATAGACCATTTGTGGGTGTATTGCCATCCTAATGGGGCTTCCCAGCTGGCACTAGTGGTAAAGAACCCAGCTGTCAATGCAAGAGACCTAAGAGATAGTTTTGACCTCTGGGTCGGGAAGATCCCCTGGAGGAAGGCATGGCAACCCACTCCAGTGTTCTTGCCATGAACAGAACAGCCTGGTGGCTACACTCCACAGGGTTGCACAGAGTTGGGCACTGCTGAAGCGACTTAGCCTGCTTTGTTATTCTGTTGCTCGGTCGTATCCGACTCTTTGTGACCCCAGGGACTGCAGCACACCAGGTTTCCCTGTCCTTCACCATCTCCCAGAGTTTGCTCAAACTTATGTCCATTGAGTCAGTGATACTGTCTTATCATCTCATCCTCTGCCACCCCCTTCTCCTTGTGCCTTCGATCTCTTCCAGCCTCAGGGTCTTTTCTTTTTTTTTTTTTTTCATTTATTTTTATTAGTTGGAGGCTAATTCAGGGTCTTTTCTAATGAGTTGGCTCTTTGCATCAGGCGGTCAAAGTATTATTGGAGCCTCAGCTTCAGCATGAGTCCTTCTAATGAATATTCAGAGTTGATTTCCTTTAGGATTGACTGATTTGATCTCCTTGCTGTCCAAGGCAAGGGACTTCAAGTTTTCTCCAACCCACAATTCAGAAGCATCAGTTCTTCGGCGCTCAGCCTTATTTATGGTTCAACTCTCGCATCTGTACATGACTACTGGAAAAACCATAGCTTTGACTATATGGACCTTTGTTGGAAAAGTAATGTCTCTGCTTTTTAACATACTGTCTAGGTTTATCATTGCTTTTATTCCAAGGAGGCAGCGTCTTTTAATTTCATGGCTGTAGTCACTGTCCACAGTGATTTTGGAGTCCAAGAAAATAAAGTCTGTCACTGTTTCCATTGTTTCTCCATCTATTTGCCATGAAATGATGGGTCGAGATGCCATGATCTTCGTTTTTTGACTTAGCACACACACACCTTCTTAACAGTATTAAGTCTTCTAGTTTATAAACCTGGAATGTCTTTCTATTTCTTTAGTTTTTTATTCTCTTTCAGCAGTGTTTTATAGTTTTCAGTGTCTATATCTTATGCTTATTATGTTAAATTTACTATGCAAAGTATTTTATGCTTCTTCAAGGTATTGTGAATGGAATTATCTTAATTTTGTTTTTTGATTGTTCATTATTAGTTTATATTTAGAAATAGAGTTGGTTTCTGTTTGTTAATCTTGTGTCATGCAGCCATGCTGAACTATTATTTTCACTATTTCTTAGTTGATTAGGGTTTTCTTTATACAGGGATTGTATTGTCTGCTAAAAAAGACAGTTTTACTTTTTCCTTTCCTATCTGGACACCTTCTTTAAAAAAAATTTTTTTGGAGGACTATTTGGCCTGACAAGAAACTCCAGTACAATATTGAATAAAAGTGGTGAGAATGGACATCATTGTCTTGTTCCTGATCTCAGGGAGAATGAATTCAGTCTTTTTCCATTATATATGATATTGGCCTTAGTTTTTTCTTACATGTCCTTTATCAGGTTGAGAAATTTTCCTTCTCTTCCTGGCTTTTTGAGGTCTTTGATTGGGTGCTGAATTTTGTCACATACTTTTTCTGTATTTTGATAATCATGTGGTTTTGTTATTTAGTTTATTAATACTATACATTATTCTAATTGATTTAAGGATATTAAACCAGCCTTTCATCTCTGGAATAAAGCCTATTTGCTCATGATGTATAATTCTTTTTACTGTGTTGCTGGATTCAGTTTTGTTTTTTTTTTTTAATTGGCGAATTACTTTACAATATTGTAGTGGTTTTTGCCATATGTTGACATGGATTCAGTTTTATAGTTGGGTATTTTGTGTCTGTTTCCATATACGATATAGATCTGTTCCGTAGTTTTCTTTCTTGTGATGACTGTCTAATTTTGGTACTAGGGTAATACTGGCTTCATAGAACGAGTTGGGAGTTCCCTCCATTTGCATTTACGGAAGGAATTTGCAAAAAGATTGGTATTAATTCTTCTTGAAGTATTGATAGGATTCACCAGTGAAGCCATCTGGGCTCGGATTTTTCTTTGTGGGAAGGTTTTTGATTATTCATCCAATCTCTTTACTTAGTAGGTAAATAAAGTATAATACAGGCAGATTTCTGTTTCTTCTTCAGTTTGGATAGCCTGTATTTTATAGGAATTTTTCTATTTCATCTAAGTGGTCAAATTTTTGGCATACAGCTGTTCATATTATTTTCTTGCAGGCAGCTTTTAGCTATATGTGTTTTACTATTTAACGTTTTGAACAGTTTTTGTTTTGCATCTGATTTTATTTTATCCTTTTCTTTTTGCAAAGTTTCTAAATATTGTGAAGTTTTTTCAGACCTTGCTTTCTTATTTTATGAATGCAGTGATCCCTCAAGCCTCCCTGAATTTACTAAAGTTAATATTTTTCATTCTCTTAAATTTCTTGCACTAATCCTTCCTTCATAGTTAGTTGTTCCACATGTTGATCTTGGTGATGCCTTTAGCTTGGTAATTTTCTCATACTCATGATTCCTCAAGGTTGATTTGTATTTTTAACTGAATGTCTAGGCTTATGAGTACTGGGTGTACTGAGCTGTTGTGAAGGTGTGGTGTGATGTCCTAAAGGAAAGGCTAGCTGGCTAGTACCAGGACTCACCAACTCTGGTCTGCCCTGGCTGTTGATGAATGGTCTGCAGTCCTCCCTCAGTGAAGGGAGGAAGGATCATCAGACCAGGCGTCTGGATGTGTTTGGCATGTTCATGGTTGTGCCAAGTGCCTCCCCACTTGGGGTATTCTGAATACTTCTAGAAATTCAATGCTTCAGAAGTATCCCTCTCTACTTCTCATAACACTTTTTCCTCTTATCCCAAATCCTTGCTTTTACATTTCTTCTATACTTTCAGTGAAATTTGAAGGGGAAGAGAGAGAGAAGCATTTGTTCAGTGTTTTTATCAAATCAACACATTGTATACTTTAAATGTGCACTTGAGATTTATACAATATTCCATGTCAGTTATATTTCAATAGAGCCAAAGAGAAGAAAAGACAGGTCTGCTTATAGATTGTACACTACCTGAGTGGCCTCACCTGAACTCTCCAGTGCACAGTTCTGAGCAGTCCCGAGAGGTCCATGCGTCATATTTCTTTCTAGTTGTGAACTCCTGTATGCATCAAGAATCAGTAATTCCACTTATAAAAATGTTTACCTATAAAGATGGTTATTTTTCTAAAATGAAAAGTTGAAAGCAAACTATTAGAATGTAAGGAAATGGTTAAGTAGCTATTTGGCTTCATAAAAATCATTCTACCATTTAAAGTTTTATGTTAGATGAAATCATGTAAAATAATTGTGATCTGCATTTTAAAAAATCAAAATTGAATATTAATATAAACACAACTGTGTAAAACTGTATAGAAAAAAATACTAGAAGGAAAGATTCCAAAAATGGACAGTGAACTCTGGGTGGTGGAATTGTATATGAATTTTTTCTAATTCCTTGTATTTTTCTAATTTACTATCATGAGCATGTATTATTTTTAAGGTGAATAACAACAAAAAAATTTTTTAATGGCTATGGACTTCTACCTTGCTGTAATATATTTCTGATTTTCCTGAACTAGCTCTTTTTTGATGTTTTCATCTTATTTCTCAGACTAATTTTTGGTAGTTTTGATGATTATTTAGAGGCAATAAGGAACATAGATGGTTGCAAATAAATCTTGTGGAACGTATTCCACCCAGCTCTACCATAGGACAAGCCCCTTAAAATTCTTTCTTTTAGCTTGCCAGTGCAATGGCCACAGCAAATGCATTAATCAGAGTATCTGTGAGAAGTGTGAGAACCTGACCACGGGCAAGCACTGTGAGACCTGCATATCTGGCTTCTATGGTGATCCAACCAACGGGGGAAAATGTCAACGTAAGTCAAATTTTTCGGGGTCACTGATTGCAAATCAGGTGGCACATAGTGTCTGTTTGTCTTGATTATCTTGGAGGAAGAAAGCCACTTGGTTTCAAATAATGTGTTTCTTAAGTTACACTTGTCAGGAGGTCAGCTGAACTGGAAGAGAGAGAGCAGAGCTGCCTAGTGTCAGAGTAGATATTAAAGCATCTAGTCAAAAATGAAGGAGTTAAAGCCTTTAATCAGTTCCTGTGATGATGGAAGGAAAAGGCTTACACTGAGAGAGTACTGACTCCCCTTGTTCTACTTTCCTTCTTGGAATGGTGTGCTGTTTGAGCATCAAGTGAGTTAGCATAGGCTTGGGGGTCAATGTGAATTTAAGGTCCAGTAAAAGCCTCTTATGGACCCTGATGGGACGGAGAGTGGGTAAAGTCTCTTTGAGGTTCCCCTCCTCCATGTGGAAGCTTAGCAGAGGTGACCTCTGCCTGAGGCCTCAGATACAGAGACCTAGGAGTGAAGGTACCTGAGCTACGAATGCAAATATGTGAGAGAGAGTGGCTGGCCAGGGGGCCTGAGCCCTTGACTCAACTCCTCTAGAGAGTTCCACCCAGGTTGGTGTCGAAAAGGCCGCTTTCCCTGTAAGGCCCACCAGAGAAAACCTTTATCGTTGCCTATGGTTTGGCCTCAAAAGTCACATGTAGGTTTTTAACCAGGAGCAAAGAGTTGGACACGACTGAGCAACTGAACTGAACTGAACTGAGACTCCTCAATACATCCAGTATTTTTAAAGATTTAAGTAGCCCTGTATTTCCCCATACATGTCAGATAGATTCCTGTAAGCAAAAGGACACTTACTGTTAGCACACAAATTATATTTTTTAAAATGACAAGTGATACCAATAAACTACTTTCTGGTTTGTTCTAGTTTGCAATGGAAAGATCCATCAGGTCTGAGGAAAAAAATAAGAAAGGAAAATCTCTTAGCTGCTCCCCAAGTCCCACCTCCAAACTCCTTAGCATGGCCCTTGAAAATCTGATTCCAAAGCAGTCAGAAGAGAGCTAGTGTCCTAGTGGAACCTCTCTGGGATTCATTTTCCTCGTCTGTAAAATGGGGATAGTAGGGTGGTTGTTGAAATGAAAGCAGTCAGCAGGACATGACAGGTAGATGTGAACCATCATTATTACTCTTCAGATGTCCTTTCTTACCATTCTTATGTAAAGCTCAGATTAAAAGGTATTTAGTAAAAATACTTTTTTATTCCTTGTGGCTAGATTTCATCCATTAGATAGTAATCAAGAGTACCTGACATTATTGAATGATTGATATATATTGATGAGGGCATTGTGCTGGCAGCCCCCTGAGACAACGGTGCTTTTAATATCGCCAAGGTAGAGTAGCCTGAGCAAGCTCTCACTGTGAGATTTGGCCATGCTGAGAGTCACATTCAGGAAATGTGACTTTAGGTACTGGGTCTGGTTGTACCACTATGATGAGGGTGTTGTCATCCCTGTTATGTTCAACTGTTATCTTATAAAGTTATATTCTCCTCTTGGCATTTGTATGGCTTGAATACCGTTGTCCAGAACTTACTGTTGTTGTTTAGTTGCTAAGTCATGTCCAACTATTTGCAACCCTATGGATCATGTAGCCTGCTAACCTAGGCTCTTCTGTCCATGGAATTTCCCAGGCAAGAATACTGGAGTGGGTTGCCATTTCCTTCTCCAGGGGATCTTCCTGACCCAGGGATCGAACCTGTGTCTTCCACATTGGCAGGTGGATTCTTTACCACTGAGCCACCTAGGAAGCCATTTCCAGGACTTAGAGCTAGCTTTATTTTTCAGAGTCACAATCTATAATAGAAAGCATAATTTAAAAATTCTATGAGTGGCACCAAGTCTTTAACGTTTTCTTCTTAGAACTGAGTAGTCCTTAATCTTTAGATAACAGCGATGATTTTTTGAATGCTTACTGTATTTCATTCATGTGTTGATCCTCCCCAAAATCCTACAGGATAGGCATTATTATTACCCCCATCACATGAATGAGGAAGCCGACTTAGAAAGGGAGCTAAATGGAGGGGCCTGAATTCAAACCTGGGCAGATTGACCATAGGCCTTTGCTTTTGTTAATACATTGCACCTCTCTCCATCCTCAGCAGAATGAACCCTTGTGTTGAACCCTTGTGTTTCTCACTGCAGCGTAAATTTTCTTCACCACTGCACTATTCTATTCGTAGGTTTCTTTGAGTGATATTTTTTTCTCCATGGGATTTATTTTAAAAGTATACCTATCTGTAGCCTAATACTTTTAATTTATGCACAGAAAAACAGGTTGTCGAGTGAAAAGCTGTTGAGGGAAAAGATCATTTATTTCAGCTGGAGTAAAAAGTTTGTCATAGGTCACACGGAGATGTTGGATGAAAGGTGGAGATGAAAGGTGGCTAGAGGAGGGAGATGACAAGAGTCGTTTGCTCTGAACGCTAAGAAGTCAGGCAAGGGTGCTGAATCATGGAGGGCCTCTGAAACATGACCTGCCGTTGGAATCCTTCCTCAGCTCTGAGCCCTGGTGTGATTTGAAATGTGGCCATTGGCAGAGCCTAACCAGACCAACCCTCCCTGCAGGGAACAGTCATTGCTCAGAGGTCTCTATGGGGACAGAGATTGTGTCTGTGTGCCCACACTGAAGATGCTTCAGAAATGTTTATTGAGTAGATGAAAGAATCGTGATACAATCATAACAGACTCTGTTACATCCCAAAGAAGGACAGCCTCAAATGGCAGCAGACACTGATGTTCTTTTTCATGCTGACTGGTGACTGACTCCTTTAATGTTGACTCTGACGTTATTTGAGATAAATCACCAGCTTGAAAAAACAAGAGTTTTACCTATTAAATGAATGATTTTATTTTACCTATCTTTCCAGTTGAATCCAGTTCAGACAGAATTACTTGTTTTGGGGAAAAGTCTGATAGTGGTTATCTTATAAGCCAGTTGTGGCCACCCCCTTTCCTTCTCCTTCTCCCCAGCATGCAGGTGCAATGGACATGCGTCGCTATGCAATACCAACACCGGCAAGTGCTTCTGCACCACCAAGGGCGTCAAGGGGGATGAATGTCAGCTGTAAGTACTATACTCCTGGGACTCCTGGCACCATCCACACCTCACCAGGGAGTGTGAAGGGGCTGTGAAATTGCCTGAACCCCAAGAGCCACCCTCTTCCCTGGGCCTTGTTGCCATGGGCTCTGAGGAATCCTCAAATCGATTGATTTGAAATTTTCCCCTTTCTGCTTCAGAGAGGTCTAATTTAGTCACCCTCCATACTGAGGAGGTTGTCAGTTTAGCAGTAATTCCTTAATGGCTCTTTAAATCACATTTTTATGTTTGAGTGACACTGACAATTCCTGGGTTGCTGATTTGGATTAGTCTTTTCAGTAAAGGCTCTATTTTTGTCATGTCAGGAGATTTTCTTAAAAGATAGAGTTGGAAGAACTGGTATTCTAATTGTAGAGAGTTCCTCTTGCTTTTAACACATCCCTCCCTGTTGTAGCATTTTCCTTAGTGATACATATCAAACATCATCTGGGGAAGAGTTTGGGGTCCACATCCTCGAAGATGCAAACAGCATCAGGCAGATTTGGAGATTCAACCCTGGCTGTGCCTCCAACTGACTAGGATGCTGTAGAAGCAAATCATTTAACTGTATTAAGCCCTGTTTCCCCCATCTATCAATAGTGAGGCTAGTGGTAATTGTTTTTAGAGTCCTGGTGAGTTGAAACAAGGGATTATTCCTCAGTTTCTCTCTGCCTCGCCAGAAAACCTCATGAAACAAGGTCTAGTTTCACTCATTCTCTCAAGCATAGACTGGAGAGAAATGTTTAGTAGTATCAAAACATTGACCTGATATAAGCAGATAGTCACTGGTGAATTTTGTTTTTCTTAAAAAATGCTTGTAATGTCACCAGTGATTGAGACTTTGATAGTGGCATTCAGAAGAATATTGCTCTGTCTGTATTTTTTAGTAATATATATGTTTCCTGTTTTTGTGCTGCCCTGAAGCCAATACATAAAGTCTAATCAGAGATTAAATTTAGTTTTTAAATCTATGTTCCTTTAAACACAAAAATGTAACAGAGCAAATTTAATCACCCCTGCCTTCTGTTAATGGTATACATGAAGAAATGAGGTGTAGGTTCAGTGAAAGACTTTCTCTTTAGGAAATTTTAGATATAAACAAGTTCTGGTAATACTAGATAAAAAGACATAAAACATCCTTGAATTATTTATTGGGGAAAAGTGCTTGACTCAAGCTTTCTCCTCCTTTCATCATGGTTCTTAGCTATTGTGCCTTCTTGAATCACTTTGTTAAGTGGGAGCTTGGGTGTTACCGATGTTCATGGATGATATTTATGGGGAAATTAACAATTCTTTTTGACTAGAACTCTTTTTCTCCAGACTAGTGAACCATATCCAAGAGTTTTTAGTTTTGGTTGGTTTTTTTTTTAAGTGATCCTTGGTGTTTAGCCTTCTCTCACTTGTGTTTAAAGAACAGGTTCAATTTATCTATGGAGAATAGGAAATGTGAGAAATGAATATGTGAAAAAAAAATTTATTTATTTTTCAACAACAGCTCTGATTTTATTGCAGTAATAAAAACTGAGAGCTAGATGGCCCTACAAGAAAAACATATGTAAGATAGCTTTTCTTTCACTCAGCCACTATTTACATGTTTTGGCATAGTCTCATCTAAACAGTTTAACTTTGTCACAGTCTTATCCACACATACACTTTCCAAGATGGATAAAAACTTACGACTTTATTAGCAACTAACCACAGGTAAATCGATTTGAAAAATGCCTTAACTGCACTTTTAGAAGAGTATTTGTTCATACAAAAGTGAAAATGTGTTTTCATGATAAAAAAATAGGATCTGAATTTTACTTTATTTGAATTTATCTTATATGTTTTGGCAAATATTTATTGGTTGTTGATGGTGTGAACTGCTGGGCAGTCAACATTGAAAATGAATGCAGACTCTTGTTAGTCCATCTGATTAGAGCAACAGTGAAGAATGTAATTGTACTGACTCAAAAGGTATAGTTTATGTAAGAGGACCTGCTTGATTTTAAAGTGAATGTAGATTCACTATTGAATGTAGATAACAATAGAAAATAATCTTCATTTTTTCCCCTAGATGTGAGGTAGAAAATCGATACCAAGGAAACCCTCTCAAAGGAACATGTTATTGTAAGTGTTTTTGCAGTTCTTCTTCGTCTAGAAGGAAAGCAATTCAATAAAACTTCATTATTTTCTTTTATATGGTTTGAGAATGGTAAATGCTATAGGAATATAGTAACCACCCATGGAAGTGGCTCTTAATTTGATGTGTCATTTTCTACTAAATTTAATTCATATGTGAACACTATTTTAAGCTGCTTTAAGTCTGGTTGTGGTTTATATTAATATGTCTATGGCAGTTATCAGGGAAGAGTACAGAGATAAACATCTCTGGGTTTCCTTATTTGTATTCTATTGAAACCTTATTTCATTTGCCATTATCTGGTTGGGATATTTTAAGATTGATCAAAAACAGAATTCTAAAAATATAGTTAAAGTTATCATTCTCTCTCAAACTGATTTGTGTTAACCACCTCTTTAGGAATTAATATGTAAAATAAAATGTGCAATACACGGTAAACCAGATCCTTGTAAGTAAATGCATTTTCTTCCCATATGAGAATCTACATACTGGGCCAGATTATGGAACCAGAGAAAAATGATCTAATGTTTTTCTGCTGTGATTGTATACCCATACCATCTGGGTTTAAATAACATCCCTTCGAAATTCACGTCCACCTAGAACTTAGTAAATGTGTTTTTTCTAGAAAAAAACAAGAGAAAAACTTCATGACTTGCATATGGGAAAGAGTTTTTCAGTATGATTCCATAATCACAACTCATAAAAGACAAAATTTTTTATTTGGGACTTATAAAAATTTAAAAACTAAAAACAACCTACAGACTAAGGAAAATGTTTACAAAGCGTATCTTTGATTGAGAACTTATGTTCACAATATATAAAGAACTCCTACGAATGAATAAGGGGACAGTGTCAGTTAAAAACAGGCAAAGATTTGAAGACATTTCACCAAAGAAGGTAAATGAATTGCCAATAAGCATGTGAAAAAATGGGTAACATTATTAGACATTTGGGATATGTGTGTTAAAACCACAGTGAGATGTACCCCTAGTTTTATTGAAATCAAAAGCCAGTACCACAGCTTAATAGAAGTAAACTGGATTCTTATATCTGCTTCACAATCTGTTGCACTATGTCTCTTTGGTTAAAGTACACACACACACACACAACCTGGCCCCACCAGATATAGTTGAAACACACCACACACACACACACACATCCTGGCCCCACCAGATATAGTTGAAAAGGACGGAGTGATTTTTTGTTGTTGTTTCTGATGCACCATTCAGCATGCAGGACCAGGGCTCGAACCCATGCCACCTGCATTGGATTGCAGAGTCTTAACCAGATGTCCTATTCATCATAGGAGATTGGAGTGCAAAAGTAGGAAGTCAAGAGATACCTGGAGTAACAGGCAAGTTTGGCTTTGGAGTACAAAGTGAAGCAGGGCAAAGGCTAACAGAATTCTGCCAAGAGAACACACTGGTCATATCAAACACCTGTTTTCAACAACACACAAGACGACTTTACACGTGGACATCACCAAATGGTCAGTACAGATTGATTACATTATTTGTAGCTGATGATGAAAAAGCTGTATACAGTCAGCAAAAACAAGACCTAGAGCTGACTGTGGCTCATGTCGTCAGCTACTTGCAGCAAAATTCAGGCTTAAACTAAAGAAAGTGGGGAAAACCACCAGGCTAGTCAGGTACAACTTAAATCAGATCCCCTATGAATATACAGTGAAGGTGAGGAATAGATTCAAGGGATTAAATCTAGTAAACAGAGTGCCTGAAGAGGTATGGACAGAGGTTCAGAATATTGTACAGGAGGCAGCAAATAAAACATCCCAAAGAAAACAAATGCAAGAAGGCAACGTGGTTCTTTGAGGATGCTTTACAAATAACTGAGGAAGGAAAGGGAGAAAGGGAAAGGTACACCAAACTTAATGCAGAGTTCCAGAGAATAGCAAGGAGAAACAAGAAGGCCTTCTTCAATGAACAATGAAAGGAATAGAGGAAAACAGCAGAAAGGGAAGACTAGGGATCTCTTCAAGAAAAATGGAAATATCAAAGGGACATTTCATCCAAAAATGTGCACAGTAAAGGACAGAAACGGTAAAGATCTAATAGAAGCAGATGAAATCAAGAAGAGATGGCAAGAGTTGAGAAGAACTGTACAAAATAGATCTTAATGACCCAGATGGTGTGATCACTCACCCAGAGCCAGACTTTCTGGAGTGTGAAGTCACCTGGGCCTTAGGAAGCACTGATGCCAATAAAGCTACTGGAGGTGATGGAATTCCAGCAGAGCTATTTAAAATCTTAAAAGATGATGCCATAAAGGTGTTGCACTCAATATGTCAACAAATTTGGAAAACCCAGCAGTGGCCACATGACTGGAAGAGGTGAATCTTCATTCCAATTCCCAAGAAGGGCAGTGCTGAAGAATGTTTGAACTACTGAACAGTTGCACTCATTTCGAATGCTAGTAAGATTATGCTCAGAATCCTTCAAGCTAGGATTCAGCATTACATGAACTGAAAACTTCCTGATATTCAAGCTGGGTTTAGAAAATGGAGGAACCAGAGATCTAATTGCCAGCATTCGCTGGATCATAGAGAAAGCAAGGGGATTCCAGAAAAGCACCTACCTCTGTTTCATTGACTACACTAAAGCCTTTGACAGTGTGAATCATTACAAACTGGAAAACTCTTAGAGAGATGGGAATACCAGACTATCTTACCTGTCTCCTGAGAAACCTGTATGTGGCTCAAGAAACAACAGTTAGAACCTTATATGGAACAACTGACTGGTTCAAAATTGAGAAAGAAGTATGACAAGGCTGTTTACTGTCATTTGCTTATGTAACCTATATGCGGAGCACATCATAGGAAATGCAGGGCTGAATAAATCACAAGCTGGAATCAAGATTGCCAGGAGAAATTTCAACAACCTTAGATATGGAGATGATACCACTTTAATGGCAGAAAGTGAAGAGGAACTAAAGAACCTCTTGATGAGGACACAAGGAGAGTAAAAAGGCCAGCTTAAAACTCAGTGTTAAAAAAAACTAAGATCATGGCATGAGGTCCCATCACTTCATGGCAAACAGATGGGGGGAAAATGGAAACAACAAAGTTCCTCTTCCTGGGCTATAAAATCACTGTAGATGGTGACTGCAGCCATGAAATTAGAAGACGCTTTCTTCTTGGCAGGAAAGCTGCAACAAACATAGTGTATTAAAAAGCAAAGACATCACTTTGCTGGCAAAGATCTGTATAGTAAAGGCTATGGCCTTTCAAGTAGTCATGTACCGATGTGAGAACTGGACGATAAAGAGGTAGAGTGCCAAAGAATTGATGTTTTCGAACTGTGGTGCTGGAGAAGACTCTTGAGAGTCCCTTGGACAACAAGGAAATCAAACCAGTCAGTCTTAATGGAAATCAACCCTGAATACTCATTGGAAGGACTGATGCTGAAGTTGAAGCTCCAATACTTTGGCCAGCTGATGTGAAGAACTGACTCATTTGAAAAGACCCTAATGCTGAGGAAGATTGAAGGCGGGAGAAGGGGACGACCAAGGATGAGATGATTGGATGGCATCACCTACTCGATGGACATGAGTTTGAGTAAACTCTGGGAGTTGGTGATGGACAGGGAGGCCTGGCATGCTGCATTACATGGGGTCTCAGAGTCGGACATGACTGAGCAACTGAACTTTACTGAACTGAACTGATGGATGTTATCCTTTGATACTGTACCAAAATTAGGCAGCTGATCATTTCTTAGAGGTTAGTTTATAGTGTAGAACCTGAAACCACATCAATTAATTTTTTGTAATTTAGTACATTTAGTATATTTCTGTCTTGAAAAATAAAAGCCAATAGCAGTGATATGGAGAAATCGAAACACTTATAAAGTTTTTGTGAGAATATAAAATGGTTTTCCACTTTGGAAAATCATTTGGCCGTCTTTTGAGTAGTGAAAAATAAACTTATAAACAACTCCTCATTCCCCTCTTCCCCTACCCACTAGCATTACCATTTTACTTTCTGTCTCTGTGAATTTGGTACCTGGGTACCTCATATGAGTGGAATTATACAGCATTTGTCTTTTTGCTTTTTTATTTTCTCTCATTTAGCATAATGTCCTCAAGGTTCATTCATGTTGTTGCATGTGTCAGAATTTCCTTTCTCTTTGAGATTTTGTTTATCCATGTATCTGTTGATGAACATTTGGATTGCTTCCACTATTGGGCTATAATTTCTTTGACTGCTATGAACATGGCTGTACAAATAGCCCTTCAGCATCCTCTTTTCTGCTTTTTTGGTGTATATTCAGAAGTGTAATTGCTGGATCAATTGGTAATTGTATTTTTAATTTTTTGAGGAACCGTCATGCTGTTTTGCACAGTAGGTGCACCATTCCCACTAGTAGTACACAACAGTTCCAATTTCTTCACATCTTCACCAACACTTTTTTTGATAGTAGCCATTCTTCTATAGATGATATGATGTCTCATTGTGGTTTTAATTTGTATTTCTCTAATGATCAGTGATGTTAAGCACCCTTTCATGTGTTTATTAGCAGTTTGTATATCTTTAGAGAAATATCTATTCAAGGCTTTTGCCCATTTTCAAATCAAGTTGTTGAATTGTGCAATACTTTTTTAAAATTTTTTTATTTTTTGGAATTGTGCAATATTTTTTAGAATTAAATTATACCATGTTTAGCCAGTCGGCTCATTTTCAAGCTCTTTTCTTTTGCTACATTAGTCTTTGAATGCTTCCTTGCTTTCTAGAAAAAGTTAATTGAGACAGGTATTCCTTGCCCTGGACCTGGAGTCAACCATTTTTACATGGAGTTTTGGTTTCTTTTATACCATTAATTTATAGCTTTGTATCTTAAACATGAATAGATGATCAATTAATATTTGTAGGTAAGTTTGGTGGGAGCCTAAAACCTCAACCAGGGTCATGATACAAGGAGGTTTTGGTGGGTTAACTCAAACAAAATATTATTGCTCACAACTTAGCTAAAAGTACTTTCTTGGCTATTGAATATTTATGAGAAAATCAATCTGTATCTCTAGAGACATACTGTGTTTTGTTTCCATTTTTAAATACATGTTTCTTTCTTTCCATAGATACTCTTCTTATTGACTATCAGTTCACCTTTAGCCTATCCCAGGAAGATGACCGCTATTACACAGCCATCAATTTTGTGGCAACACCTGATGAAGTAAGATATAAAAGTCTTCTTACTTTGTTTTGTATTTGTGTGGATCTTTTCCTTGGGCATTATGGATAGAAGCACTGCCTTAGCAGTGGTCTCCAGAGTGGAGTCCACAGGATAATGTTTAGAGGTACAGGAAAGAAGTGTTAGACTCTGCATCTTATCTCCTTTCTATTTAAAAGGTAAGAATGGTGTTGTTAAGATTTACCATGGTCTGATACACAGACTGAAATTGACTCCACACATACTTGGTTTATCTGTCAGCCCATCACAGCCCCAGACACGAAAGGAGAGGAGACTGCAAGGGGAACTTCCTTGTTAGTGGGGCAGTGGCAGAACCCAGTCTTACTGCTTTAAAATAGAACTTAATACCAGTGATGCAGGCAGAGATAACACTCAAGCTCCTAGAATGAGTTCTTAGCCTCATTAGGAGGTTAAAACAGTGAAGGTTTAGTTGCCCCATAAGAAGTCAGCCAGAAATAATTGAAATTACTGCTAAATAACTGTTTAAAATATATTTTTATGTCTATTGTTGTTAATGGTGAACCCTAGCATGCCATAAGGTGTTACCTAGGAGTAAAAGGGAGCCAACACAGTGTGACATTTAAAAGTGAAGTGTCTGGAATGTGAACACATACCTATATGATTTCTTCAGTGAGATGTAAAGTCATTTAATACCTACTCTGGTACATAATGAAATTTTACTAAATTTGATGATAAATTATTTAGGCACTTCCTTGGAGGCTTCTTATTATCAATATACACAAAACCATTTACCATTACAAAAATATGGTAAATATAACAGTACATGGAAAGCAACATGATAATGAGCCAAAGTATATTCCTTTGATAACAAATGTTATTAGCAAGCATGGCTAAATTTAAGAAATAAATAAATCAGTAGAAAAATGAAATCCAGTATGGGATGTTTACAATTAAATGAAAGTAAGATTTGTTTTTATATTCCAGAGTTATACAGTGTATGTGTCTTGTTTTTTACAAAAGCACCAGGATTTCAAGTTTATTAATCCTTTCCGTGGAAAGAAGTAATTGCTAGTAATTACCTGGTCAGGGAACTAAGATCCTACCTGCCGCAACGTGGCCAAATAAATAGATATACACTTGAGCTGTCCCTTCAAGAGGATGGTGAGGCTTTATCAATAAATGAGAAGGTAACTGCTTTATGAGAGGAACTTCTGGTTTTGGAAATAGCTGTTTGGAAATGCTTCCATTGTTGTAATTTTTATGCTGAAAAACTATCAGAAGAATGCTCTTTAAAACCTTTATTTTCTAACCCATTTAAAATTTTTCAGTGTGAAGAATTTCAGCAAGATTGCATTCAAAAATACAAAATACAGCATCTGACTCATTTGGAACAGTTTTTTGACCCCAAGAAACAGATTTATTAGCCAAGTTTTAGGGAAAACTAAAAATTAGTATCATGATTTACCTAGCACAGCTGACAGTGCTCTTTTTCCAGGTGGCCCAGAACATTCCTCAGAGATACCTTTTTCAGTCGTTAAAACCAAGAGTCAAAATAAACTAGCTCTTCAAATTGCTGTATCTCTAAGTGGTATACAAAGTTTTCAAAGATAATAAAGCATATTCTGTCATTTCTCTTGAAATAATATTTTTAGTGAGAGAAAAATGTTCTTAATCATGGGTGAAGACAATCAAAAGTTTTAAAATTTAAAAAAAGAAAGGTTAAAATTTAGTTTATTTCAGCTTTATGTGCTGTTTCTTAAAAACCATTTCCATTTTGAACTTTATACTCTATTTAATCTATGGATTCAGAAGAATATAGATTTGATTTATAAATGACAGTTGATCAAGTGTCTTACTCTCCAAACATTTGGAAAAGGCTGCCCAAAGGATCCTTAAGAGACTGATTCCCCTTATATAGGTCACAGGATGTAGATCATTGTGCTCTGGTGAGGGTCTTTTTTTAAAAGATACTTTTTTGTAGAGTTTGGCATTTGATAAAGCATTAAATGTCCTACTTTTATGGGAGGGAAATGAAACTTGTTTAGGGTATATTGCTTATCTTAAGGTTAAAAATTTTGCTAACTGTCTTTTAAATGTTGAGTTTCTCTTAAGACATTAAGAATTTTATTTGTAATTAAGAAACTAGAGAGTAGTAAAATTTACCACTTTAAAACCAAGAAACTATTAGAGTAATTAATTTTCTAATTATTTGTACATCTCACCAGCAAAACAGGGATTTGGACATGTTCATCAATGCCTCCAAAAACTTCAACCTCAACATCACCTGGGCTGCCAGCTTCTCAGGTAAAGACACACCTAGAGAAGACCTTCCAAGTGGAGATAATTGATTGAGAAAGAGTTGAGAAAAAAGGAGCTGTGGAGACAGACAGATGGATTTGAAACCCTAACCCTTTGCTACTTATTAGCTGGAAGACCTTGAGCAAGCATCTAAAACCTATCTCTAGACCCATAGGATTTTTCATCTTAAAAAGAAAGTAATAATACTTACCTCCTGTAGTTGTGTAGATTAAATTCAGCTATGCCTGTCAGTGCCTGCCATGGTATCAAGACCAGTACGTGCTCACTACCTCACCTGGCTAACACCATTAATACCATTGCTACAGCCGCTCTTCTGGCACTGCCATCATCATCATCCATGTTTCAGAAGTGAAAAATGCAACATTTTTAATAGAATGAGATTTTAGTGGGTACAGAGAAAAATGTGCTTTGGAAATTAAATAAAGCTTTATGAGCAAAGCTTTTGCTGTCTTATTTACCTTACTATGATTTACTAAAGAAGATCTGCTGGGCAGAAAATCTACTAAAGAAAGAAAAGGTGGCCTTGATATAGTAGTTAAGAAGTAGCTCAGTGGACCTGGATTTGAATTCTGCCTGTTACTTCAACTATGATTTTTGAGTCAGTTTCCTCAGGTATGAAATAGGATAATGAAAACACCCAGCCATGTAGAATATCCTGAGGATTAAATGAGATAATAAATGAAGTACTCAGGGTATGTAGTGCTAGAAACTACATACAATTCCATTCTCATCAAATGGAAATTATGTTTCATCATCATTACTGTCACAGTACTATCTTTTGGTCAAAATATGACCAGTTAGACTGAAACAAAATAAAAACATTGCTTTGTACATCAGTTTGTGTTTATCATGTCAGAGTCTTTGTTTGGAGAAACTTAGCAGCCTTGAGCATGTGATTGATTTCCAATGACAGTGGGACTCCAGCCATGGGAAAAGCCTGTTTCATGAGTCTTTATAGACGCTAGAATTCCTGGCAGAGGGACAATATTGAATGTTGAAGGACTGCTTGGGAATAGGATGAGGTTATATCAGGCCAGGGGGATTTAAAGGCAGTTGTAGTTGGTAGCAGAAGGGACTGAGTGACCTCTAAAAACTCCCTGCTAGTGTTGAGACTTAAGGTCACTGCTAGTTAGGAAGTGATGGCTGAATCTGTGTCCCTTGTATGGGGGATCTGGAGCACTGCCAAACAGGTTTAAGGGGGTAAATTCAAAGCAGGTGAAGTGGGCAGAGTGAATGCCATTGCTTCAAAGTTACTGCAGCCTGTTTCTGTGGGAGAAGGTGTAGGGGTTCCTAGTAAAACCATTTGGGTTGAGGGCACAGGCTTGTGTATCAGCCTACCCAGCTTCAAATCCAAACCCTTCCTAGCTGTGTGATCTGAATCAGCTTCTTAATTTTCCTGAACCTAAGTTTTCTAATGTGTAAATGAGGAGGATAGTAATTGTTAGAATTAAATGAGATTGAGTTGTTAAGTGCTATTTCTGGAACACAGTGTTTAATAAATTCTAACTATTATCATTAGTGAGGGCAGATTCTGCTCCCCCCCGCAAAAAAAAAAATCTCTTTATTTAATTTTTTTCTTCTTAACAGCTGGAACCCAAGCTGGAGAAGAGATGCCTGTTGTTTCAAAAACCAACATTAAGGAGTACAAAGATAGTTTCTCTAATGAGAAGTTTGATTTTCGCAACCACCCAAATATCACTTTCTTTGTTTATGTCAGTAATTTCACCTGGCCCATCAAAATTCAGGTAAGAAGTGCTTTTACATCTTACAAAGATGGTGAAATCTCTGTAGTGGAGACTTAATTCACTAATGTGTAACTTACTGTAAATGAGATGTACAGTATTAATACTGCTTTGCCTTTGTGATACCTGTGATAAAGGAATGCTGAGCACAGACCATAAAGAAGACTGTAGTGGGGCTAGCTTAAATCACTTATGAACGAAATTTATAAGCACTTTTGAAAGCAAGCTGGTGTATAACAGATTTGGTAATTACACCTGTATTCATTTCTTCATTGAGGACTTGCCACTTAAAAGCCTGTAGAGCTACACAAAGAGCTTCAATTCTGGAATGAGTAAGGTGGCTATAAGTGAAGCAAACAAATATAACCAGTGAAAGCTGAAGTGTGGAAATCGCCATATGAAAAAAACCCCAAATACTCTTGGAGTTTAAAGGAGGATAGGATGGAGGGTAGTGGGGACACAGTGTGTGACAGTGTTTAAGGTCACCGTAAGAGTTTAGGTCTATAGTCAGACAGACGCAGGTTTGAGTCCTGGCTTGTTCCTGTAGCATCTCCATGTCAGATTCTTTGTATTGTGACCTGAAAGGGTAGGTCTGAGGGTTCTTGTTGGCTGCCGCAGCCACTGCTGCTACCAGCCTGCTCCTTTCTCTGTTCCCAGGGGTCTAGTGCACTCCTGGCCCCATTTGTGCTCTTTATAACCATGTGCCATTGTGTCTTTGGGACCTTGCCTTAGTGCTTTGTGGTTTAACCCCTTTCCTTTTGGGGAAAGGTGGAATTTGGGAAGGGTGAACTTTGAACAGTTGGTTTACCTTCAGCTGAGCAAGTGTGGTCGCCGGACTGGGGCTGAGGATACTTGCCGACTCTCAGTGGCACTGTCTAATGAAGGAAGTCTGCACTAACCACTTGGGATGGGCTTGAAATCTAGTTCCAGTGGGTGTGTGTTCACGCCTTGAGACTAACTAAAGAACAGTCAGTCACTCTTTTCCTTTCTGGAGGGTGGGGGACAGGCTCAGCATCATAATGTTACTCACCACTCTCTTTTCTCTTCCCATCTAGGTGATCTATATATTTACCCTCTGATCTACTTTTTCCTTTGTTCTGTCACACCGTCTGCTTCCCTTTCCAGTTAGCCTTCTTATAAACTTTGACCACACTCCCTGTTTCTGTTTCCTCACATCCACTCACGCATTAGTCCAACTTCTTCCTTCACCACATCCTGAAGTTACCTGTCACGGTGGGCTCCAGTGACTGAGTTCTTTAGTCCCCTTTTCCTTCTCATTGCATGATTTGAGTCACTATCCTTCTTGCCTTCCTGGTCCTTTTCCTTGCCTCATTCTCTGGTCTGTCTTTTTAAGGAATGTTTTAAAAAAATTAGGGCTGTCTGGGATTCAGGTCATGGTTCTCCTCTGTCTTTATCGCACGCATGAGACTCACTGTACCACCTCTGTACTGGTAATTCTCAGTACGCTGTCTTCAGCCCTGCTATACTTGAACACCAGACAAGTGTTCTGGGTTGATGCCTAGACATTTCTACCTGGCCACTCATAAGCTCCCTGTGCTCGGGGAGTCATTCTGTTCTCTTAGCCCCAAACCCTGTGCTTCGTTCTAGGGAATGGCACTACCATTTGTCCTATTGCATAAACCATGACCCTGGAAGTTATTTGCATTCCTGGAATAAACCTGACTTGCAATGATATATTGTTTTTTTACTTTATGCATTGCTGGACTCAGTTTGCTAATACTTTGATTTGAATTTTGTATCTGTCTCAGTAAGAAAGTCCATAATTTTCCTTTCCTGTCTTTGTTATAGTTATTAAACTAGCCTTTAATTATAAGTTGAGAAAGACAAAATTATTAGTTGAGAAGTTAACTCTCTCATTTGTGGAAAAAATTATATAACTTTAGAATTGTATGCGATCTGTCTTGTGAAACCATTTGATTCTGGTGTTTTATTTGTGGAGTTTGTTTTCTAACTGCTGATTCCAGTAGTTACAGGATATTTTGGATACTCTATCTGCATCCATTAAGATAATTTTTCTAGATATTAAATTATTTCATGTATTTTCAAATTTTCTGACACAAAGTTGTTCATACCCTCCTCTCTTCCTATCTTTGCAGCATCTGTGCTTACTGAATCATATGCTTAAAATTGGTTGAAGTCATATTAATAAATTTTATCTTAATATTTACCCCAATTTTTTAAAGTTTAAAAATAAGTTTTTTTCTGTAGACATTGACAAGCTTATTCTAATGTTTCTATGAAAAGCAAAGATTCTAAAATAGCTTTAACAGTTTTGAAAAGAGGCATAAAGTGGGAAGAATTACTATATGAGATATTAATAAGGCTTTCTATTTAGCTACAGTAATCAAGACATTGTGGTTATTATTGTAGGAATAGACACGTAGATCAGTAGAACAGAATAAAGAACCCAGAAATAGAACTGCCTAAATACATCCAACTGATTTTTACAGGTGCAGTCAGTTCAGTGGAAGGACAGCCTTTTCAACAAAAAGCTACTAGAACAGTTGGACAGTCATAGACAAGTAAATGAACTTTGACCTAAACCTTACATCTTATACAAAAATTAATTCAGTGTGGATAACAGATATAAGTGTAAAATGTAGAACTATGAAACTTTTAGGGGGGAAAAAAGGAGAACATCTCCATATCCTAAAACTAGGCAAAAGATTTTCATATTTGCCAACAAAAACATGACCTATGAAAAAAAAAATTGCTCACATCAAAAGCACAAGCTTTGCTTTGTGAAAGACCTTGGTAGGAGGATGAAAAACAAGCTATATACTGTGAGAAAATATTTGCAAAAGATATTATTGACAGAGGACTTGTATCTAGAAGATAAGATGAATTCTCAAAATGCAACATTAAAAAGCAGTCCAGTCAGAAAATGGACAAAAGACATGGAGACATTTTATCAAAGAAGATGTAAATATGGTAGATAACAACATGAAAGATGTTCAGCTTTAAAAGCTGTTCAAGAAATACAAATGAAAGCCAAGAAGGGGAGTTCTCTGGTGGTCCAGTAGTTAGGACTCCACACTTCCACTGGCTGAGGCCCCAAGCTTCAATCCCTAGTTGAAGAACAAAGATCCCACAAGCCACACGGTGTGGCAAAAAAAAAAGCAAACCACATCCCACAATTAGAATGAGATATTACTTCACACCTATCAAGTGGCTAAAATTTAAAACAGTAATAACACCAGATGTTAGAATTCAGAGAAATTAGATCATGCATACATTGCTGGTAAGATGGTACAGCCACTCTGGAAAATATCAGTAGTTCAGTGTTTTTCTTATAAAACTAAATTCGCACTTACTATACTTAACCCAGCAATTGTATCCCTGGGCATTTATCCCAGAGAAACAAAAACTGATGTTCATACAGACACTCGTAGAGCAATATTTTGCAGCTTTATTCATAATAGCCCCAAACTGAAAGCAACCCAAGTATTCTTCAACAGGTGAATGATTAAATGAACTGTACTACATACATATCATGGAATAATATTCAAGAATAAAAAGAAACAAACTGTTGATAAGACAGCTTGTATGAATCTGAGGAAATTGTGCTGAGTAGGAAAAATATCTGAAAAATTTACATGCTGCATGATTCCAATTATATAACATTTGAACATAAAAATTTTAGACCAAAAAAAAAGTCACCTACTGATGCTTCAACTTTCTTTGACTTCTGGACCTTTTTTTCAAAGGGCTTATCAGATGAGATCAGACCCACTCACACTCCAGAGGAGAGGACTGTACAGGGTATGCACATCAGTGTAGTAGACATCTTAGGAGCCATATTAAAATTCTCTCTGCCATTGGCTATATTTGGCGTGGGGCTAGCAGGGTTAGGCTGTTTCTCTGATCCTAGGGAATATGAGCTCTAGGCTCTACTTAGTACAGTTGCATTTTGATAACATCTGCTAACACTGCCAAGTTATAGAGCACATACAATTGTAAAATATTTTATTTTTAAATATAATTTATTGACTTGTTTTAAGTTGAAGTTGTTTCTATACTGATATATCTTGTTATATTCTAAATCTGATTGAACTTCAAGCTTTGTTTCTTATAGTTGAAAAATTATTGTATTTTTTTAAGAGTCTTAATATTTTTTAAGATTCTTAGTGACAGTCGACTTATGTTGCTGATATTTTTTCCCATTTGGAAAGAGGGCTCTGGGCATATAAACAGGCTTTTGTGCTGGAGATAGCTGTGCTGTTGCCAATGCCGAGTTCTAGTTGTTTTTTTTCCTCCCAGTGCCCAGTTGCTCCACCCTCTGAAAGTCACTGAAATGGTCATTTCCTTCTAGAGGGATCTCTTCCCCACACTCACTTTTTTTAAGTACTCATTTCAAGTTAAAGACTCAAAGAAATATTGGTTTCCTGCCTGATTTTTTGGTCGTCTTCACCTGAACTGGATCACTCATTTGAATAAGATCCACTTATGAAAGCTGCATTCAGGAGCACTTCGGAAAATAAATGATGGCATGTTCACCATTTAGTTTGTCAGGCTTTCCTTGAGAAACAGGTAAGTTCTTTTGAAAATATATCTTTTTGCTCTTTGGTACAAAAAGCTGCAGTTTTCACAAGCAATGTGACTGGACCTTTGGTGTCTTTATACAAGAACCTGATCAGTGCTGGTTCTCTCCACACTGGGGAGTGTATCTGGTGTGTGCTGAGTGGAGGACTGAGCTTGTATCTTCCTGGGCAGATGTGAGCCTGTTCTCAACAGAGGGGCTGTACCTTTCTTTATTGCTTTATTTTCCTCAGTTTTAGCCTTTTTAGGTGGTGTTAGCTTTTAAATACACCCTTGAAGACTGTACAGATTTAGTTAAAATGTAGAGGCTTATTTAAGGAAGAGAATAGGGAAATGTATAAATGGTACAGTGTAAGCCATTCAGTTAAATTTCTGTATGACTTTCAATGCAGAAAAAAGCCTTTTTTCTTTTTTTGTCTTTGATTTTCATTATTTAAAGCAAA